GAATTAAGGAACTGTTGAAAGCACTGGTTCTTCTTCAAGGTGGCTGATGCCAACTGCCACATCTATGATGCGACCTTAGCCTTCCATGTTGACATTAAGTGTGATACAAGACTTAGTTGTCTCTTCATGACAGTTCCAATGTTTGTTAGTCTCTCTGTACTTATCCTCCTTGCTCTTTTCACAGTAAAATGATAGGTTGTATTTACACATCTGGCAAGAATCAAGATCATCTGTAAAGTTGGCCTTATTTCTCAGCATGGACTCTGACCTCTTTATAAAGTGTGTGGCCTGGAAGTCTGGTGTTAAGACTGGAGAAATGGGAAATCTGTCATTCAAGAAATAAAAAAAAAATCAAGAGGATGCCTATCATGCCAGCTTTTGAAATTGTTTGTTTGTTTGTTTGTTTTAATTCAGGTTAAGTTCCAAGAGTGCCATTTGGACCAAAAGGCAGGACCCAAGATGCCAGGAGACAAAATTAGAGCAAAAACAATGCTAGGAACTGAGTAAGAAAATCTAACAACTCAGAATTTGCAAACTTTGGCTTCAGTGCTAAGCATGCATAGTAGTTAAGAACATTAAATTGTATTTAATCATCACGTGTCAAAGGAAGAGCACAGTTCCTCCTAAAGCACTTCATGAGCACTTATCCAAGGCAAAGAAAGCTGTTCTATCTGGAGCACTTTCCTCAGAGTTTAACTTACTGTGGAGGAAAGTCTTCATTCCGTATTTGCATTCTGACACTTCATCTCTGTTATCATGTATCTTGGTGGTGGTATCTAACATGTATGTGAGTATGTGTGGACCCCAGGTCATTCTCAGGTGTTATGCTCTGAATCTGTCCACGTGGTTTTTGAGCTTTCCCATTTGGCCTGAAGCTTGCTATTTGGTTAGGATAGCTTGCCAGCAAGCCCCAGGGATCTGGCTATCTCTTCTTCTCCAACTCTGAGACTACAAGCACACACCACCATACCTGGTTGTTCCTGTGGTTTGGGATATCAAATTCATGTCCTCATGATTACCCGGCAAGTACTTAACTGACTGAACTATTACCCAGTCATTCATCTCCATTTTACCAGAAAGCGAAACACTCATCCCCTTTCCCTGTATTCTTCTAGATGATTCATTATCAAAACTGACTGAAAAATAGGCAGGACCCTTAACACTTGAGATTCAGCTACAGTTCCTGCTGTGATTGTTATCTTAGGTCCTGCCTCCAAACCTCTGCTCTTCAAGGAGAAGTACTATTTGAACACTCATCCTTGGACTCAATATCACAACTTGGGAAAATGAAAACAGGTGATCCAAATTTTGCTTTACAAAATTCTTTTAGTATCTTGCAAACTTCAAGCTATTTTGTTTTTATGTTCACTAACACTTTGCTTATATTCCTTACCAAGGCAAATATTTGGTTATTGTCAGGGGACCAGACATGAGATTATGAAAGCCTCTGCTCCATGGAGATTATAGTACAATGGAAAATGAAAACATGAAACATGACAATAAAACTTAAAGAAAAAACCTACAGATTTACCATTAGGTAAAAGCTAGAATGAAAAGTAGAAGAGAGTCCTTACTGGGAATGATACAGTGGTGAGACTTGAAGCTTCGGAGAGCAGCCTGGCACAAAGACACAGAGCAGGAAGTGGCTCTTCTAGTGAGAACTTCCAAATGGGGTAACTATGCTGGATTAATAGGAGCGTAGCCCAGATACAGCACAACTGGCCAGTGTATTATTAAAATTACCGAGATTTTCAGATGCCAAGTCACAGAATCATAACAAACAAACAGAAACGGAAAAACTTATAGAGTGCTCAGAGCATTCTGGGACCTGCCTAAGATTTCAATTCCTAAGGTCCAATGGAGATGGGAAAACTTTGTCCTATCTAATCCACCATATCCACTCATTTTTAGATTCCGAATGTTGTTAAGTTAGAGATACATATTCAGAACATATTGTCTAACCACTATGTGGAACATTCATGAGACAGGAACAAGAGAACATTTTGGGAGATCTTAGGCCTGATCAATAATCCTGATGAAAGGTGCTGGATGTGTGGAGCAAGGTCGTTAACAGGAAGCAAAGACACCTGAGCTGGGAGGACACATGGGAAAATTGCTAATGGATTCAGTAATACTGTTAGCGTGTGTTTAATGAGCAAACATCCTTACACATTTGGAAATCATTAGTAAAATACCTGTGGATCCTCTGAGCTGCAGCTGGCAAATGTAAGGATTTCAGTAGGGACCACTGTTGAAAAGAGTAAGGGAGAAGGCAGTGAGGTATACCATAGTGATACGGGACTGGTCTGCAGTGCAGGAACAAGCAAGGGGAAACAAATGAGTGATGGTGAGCCACCAGCCATGAAGTCATTGACAGGTCCCTGTGTCACAGCTGGCCCACAAAGTAGCCCCATATCCCCTGTTCAGTATCCCTGCAACAGTCAGTCTGTGGAGTGTTTATAGCAGAACCTGGACTCTTGATGTACCAAACAACTTTAGTTAGGTTTTTTTTCTTTTTTTTCTCTTTTATTGGATATTTTTTTTATTTACATTTCAAATGTAAATAAAGGAAAATTTATTTAGATTTCCTGATTTCCCCTCTGGAAACCCACTATCCCATGCCCCTCCCCCTGCTTCTATGAGGGTTCTCCCTGATCTACTCACCCACTCCTGCCTCCCCGCCCTGGCATTCTCCTACACTGGGGCATCAAGCCTTGATAGGATCAAAGGCCTCTCCCCTCATTGATGTCTGACAAGGCCATCCTCTGCTACATATGTGGCTGGAGCCATGGGTCCCTCCATGTGTTTTCTTTGATTGGTGGTTTAGACCCTGAGAGCTCTGGGGTGTCTGGTTGGTTGATATTGCTCTTCTTCCTATGGGGCTGCAAACCCCTTCAGCTCCTTCAGTTCTTTCTCTAACTCCTCCATTTGGGACCCTGTGCCCAGTTCAATAGTTGGCTGTGAGTATCTGCCTCTGTATTTGTCAGCCTCTGGCAGAGCCTCTCAGGAAACAGCTGTATTAGGCTCCTTTCAGCCAGCACTTCTTGGCATCCACAATAGAGTCAGGGTTTGGTGACTGTATATATGGGATAGATCCCCAGGAGGGGCAGTCTCTGGATGGCCTTTTCTTCAGTCTCTGCTCCACACTGTCTCCATATTTTTTCCTGTGAGTATTTTGTTCTCCCTTCTAAGAAGGACTGAAACATCCACACTTTGGTCTTCTTTCTTCTTGAGCTTCATGTGGTCTGTGAATTGTATCATGGGTACTCTGAGCTTTTGGGCTAACATCCACTTATCAGTGAGTGCATATCATGTGTGTTCTTTTGTGATTGGGTTACCTCACTCAGGATGATATTTTGATATTTTCTAGTTCCATCCATTTGCCTAAGAATTTCATGAAATCATTTTTTTTAATAGCTGAGTAATATTCTATCGTGTAAATGTACCACATTTTTCTGTATCTATTATATTCTCAAGGACACCTTGCCTTTAAATACTTACATTTTAGCTATTCAGGAGCTATAGGAGCTATAGCTCTCCTATAGTGACTGTAGGGTCTCCAGTAAGTTGCTGTAGCTGAGGGTCTCACAGAAACTTTGTGGTAGTGAAATAGATTTATCTCATTGTTTCTTATATCATTTCTCCCAGGTTTTTATTCGTCTGACATTTGTACATTCTTTTGTCTCCTTAGAAACCTTCTCACTACCAAAGAAACAAATTCACAACATTTCCCTTTATATGAAAAAGGAAGGTATTTTCCTAACTTTCGATTCTCTGACATTCTTGGGGCTTTTCAGTCATTACTTTTGAAAAGTTTTTATTTTGGCTTTAACAAACAATCTCAAATTCCCGGTCTTACCCTTCAGTCTCTATTGTGACTTCTGAGTGCACTTCAAAAGATGACACAGTTTTCTCCTGTCCTAGCTATGGAGAAAGAAACTACTTATCTTTCAATTTCATCTTGGGGATGAACCAAAAAAGAGCAATTATGAGAGCTAAGCTATGTGTGTAAAATTATAGTCATACCTTCTCCCAGCATTTAGTAAATGTTAATATAGTGTCTTGATGAAAAATTATATTGTTCTATTATTATTATCCTCTTCCATATCAATATCTATAAGTCAGGAATTGGTTAATGGGCTTTTGAGGCCAAATTAGCTTATTTTAAGTATAAAGAAACATGGGTTTTGATTTATCAAAGTGGTAAGTTTGTTTGAAAGAGAGTCTCAAGATACTCTTTTAGTATGTTTCTAAATCTGAAGCAGTTAATGAAGCACACCTAAACTCAGAAATAAGTACTACTTTTGTAGTCAAACATATTTTTCTTTCCAGAAACTATGTCAGTAATGCGATAATGATTTGCATTTATCTAGTGTAAAAGGGAGAGGGCTTATGTGTTGCTTGAGTCAGAATTTGAAAAGTCAGTCCCTCTTTTGACTGTTTGAAATAACCAGGAGCTGATTGCTGTTTGAGTGTATCTGATGCTGGGCTTGTTCTGCTTTTAGTAAGCATTGCACCTCATGGACTGGAGCCCCCTCCTTAGAACCAGTCCTTCCTCACAGTTGTCTCCCATTCTGCTTCTCTCAGGCAGCTGTACCTCTTTCCTTCAGCCTGGGTGACTCTTTTTCTTAATATTATTTTTTCTTTATTCTTGAGACTTTCATACCTATATATAAAGAAACACAAAACGACCCATACTCATTTCTCCCTCAGACTTCCCAAATCCCTCCCCAAGTGGCCCCACCCAACTTCATGTTATTGTTTTATCTTTTTGCTTTTGTTTTTGTTTTGTATCTCATGGGGTTGAACTTGGAGTGCCCTTATCTGTATGGGCCATCCACTGGAATATGGTAAACCTACTAGTGTCTGCACATATAAAGGGGAAAAAAAAACAAAGTACAATTCTTAGTCCTCATGAAGCCTTTCTTGTATGCTGAGATTTCTCATTGCCATAATGGAGAGACAGCAAACATAGAAGTAAACAGAAAATAATGATGACAGTCTTTACCAACCTCAGTCTGCTTCATGGTTTTGATCAGCATGGGTTCTCAGGTTTATTGCATTCTATATTCTATCTATTCTTGGTTTGGGGTCAGAATGGCTTCTCTTTTGATGCATGACACCTTTATTGTGCACTGGTACATTTGATTCCTTGGGCTGCCACAACATAATACACAAAAGCAAGCAATAGAATCTCACCATTCTGAATGTAAAAGACTGAGATCAAGATGTGGCAGGATGGCTGCCATTGTCAGACCTTTCTCCTTAGCTAAATCTGGCTTCCTTCTATTTCCCATTGTCTTCCCTTTGGCTGATGTCTGTGTCTGACTCGCCTTATAATGACACCTGCAAAACTGGCCTAAGATCTACTTTTATAGCAACAATGTTGGAGTTTTCCTTTCTTTGAAAAAACACAGGAATATTATAGGAAAATGTTTTTATTTTAATCCCAGGTGTCAGATATGGGGCAGCTTCAGATTGTCAACAGCAGCTGACAGAGCCTCTTGCTCTACTAGGGTTGTGATTTTGCCAGCTGCAGATGGTACCACAGATCTCCAGATGTCATGCAATCACAGAAACCATCTGAAGCTGCCCCATGGAAGTGAGCATTCATACTGAAATCTCAGAAATAACGTTACTTAAGCAATAGGTAAGAGAATAAAAAAACTGCTTCTGAAAAAAAATTGCATTTATTAAAAAATTACATAAAACAGTATAAGTAAATCCTTTTAATGTCTTTGTAAATTATGTATGCATGTTATATATTATTTAAATATCTGATATGGTTATTAACACTGCTACATTTGGGTTTACTCTGTTTTAATAGATTTTCAAACTATCATACAAAATAGTAGGATTTTATTATGGCATGTTCATACATTCTACACTTCCTTCCTCAGGCCTCCTTCCTCCCTCCTTCTGACCCTCCCCCATCTCCTCTTCTACTTTCACATCACTTATAATCAAATATTCTCTTTTTATCTATATTCCCCTCCTGTCTCTTTTTTTTTAAATTTTTTTATTGGATGTTTTATTTACATTTCATATGTTGTCCCCTTACCCCATCCCCCACCCACCCAGGAACCCCCTATCCCCTCACCCCTCCTCCTTCTTCTCTGTTGATGTAACCCCTACCTACACCCCCCACTCCCACCTCCCCACCCTCAAAATTCCCACCCCCTGAGGCTTCCAGCCTTCATGAGGTCAAGGATCTCTTCTTCCACCTATGCCCAGCAGGGCCCTCCACTCTTAAGTATTCAGCTGAAGCCCGTCTCTTAAGCTATCTTTTGCCCCTTTCATGGTTATTTTTCTGAGTTTCGTGATCCATACACAAACTCACTTCTTTTTCAAGGAACTGATTCTAATTAGAGCAAACAGTGTTCCGTGTATTTTTCTCTGGAAGTATGAAGTGGCTACCCACCTATACTTATCTTATTTACCTTGCACCTCTTATAGGTTTATTGCTCATAGCAGCATTCCATTAAATATTGACAGAGCCCATTCCTTGTGAAAGCTGCTTCAGTTTTGAAATCCTGTCAGCTGCATGCCAGTAGAAGTCCCCAGTTTCCTTTTCCCAGAATTTGTCATTATTAGGGAGGGTCTAAGTTCTCCATTAGCTCTTTTTGTTGAGAACCAATGCTCAGCCTGTAGTGGGAGGAAACTTATTTTTTCCTTCGAAGTAAGTTTCCTCATTTCTCAGTCCTCTTCAGCCTCCCTAGTCCCTCTCCTATCATTTCTGTTTCTACTTTCTCCATCGCTACAAACACATCCAACATCCTTGGTATTTCTAGAAATTTCTCTTCAATTAGATATTCTCTCCCAGTTTCCACCATCCACCCTCCTTGCCTTCCTACTGAGACTGGGGCTGAGCTTCAGAGATGACTAACAGAAGCAGTTAGCTGGCTAGTATCCTGCTCAATATTCAACTTCAAGTGGACCAAGGACCTCAACATAATGCCAAGTACCCTGAATGTGATAGGAAAGAAAGTGAGGAATATGCTGAAACTCGCTGACACAGGAAAGACTTTTAGAACAGGACACTGACAGCTCAGGCACTAAGAACAAAATTAATAAATGGGACCTCATGAAACTTAAAAACTTCTCTGTGGGGAAAGATAATATCATTCAGATGAAGCATCAGGACACATGCTTGGAATAGATCTTTACTAATTATATACATCTATAGGAGGGCTAGTATCTAGAATACATAAGGAAATTTTAATAAGAACTTAACTTTCAGGAAACAAAT